GTACCGAATAAAAATTCATCTTCTTGGGGCTTGTTTATGCACTGTTTCGGGGTACCTTTGTTGGCTAATTTGGGCGGGTTTATGCACTGTTTTGAAACACTTTTATTGGCTGATTTTGAGCACTAAAAATCACTATTTCGGGTTGATTTCGCTGCAGCTTTTGGAGCCTTCAAACGCACCTTTTTGGGAATGTATTGGGACTGTTTTGAGTTGATTTCGCTGCACTTTTTGGAGCCTTTAAATGCACCTTTTTGGGGATGTTTGGCACTGTTTTGGACTTATTTCGCTTCAGTTTTTTAAGCCTTTAAATGCACCTTTTTGTGGATATTTTAGGACTATTTTAGACTAATTTCGCTGCAGTTTTTTTAACCTTTAAATGCACATTTTTGGGGATGTTTTGGAACTTTTTTGGGTTGATTTCGCTGCAGTCTGAGCCCTTAAATGCAAGAACTGTTTAGGGCTGATTTGGCCGCAGCTTTGGTGCCTCTAAACACCGTTTTTTGGGCTGGTTACCCACTGTTTTGGGGTTGCGGTTATGGGGCCTTTTGCTTACAATTTGGAGTTAGTTTTGTGGACTTTTGCCCACTGTTTTGGGGCATTTTGTTGGCTGATTTGGGCTGGTTTATGCACTATTTTGTAACACTTTTGTTGGCTGATTTGGTTTAATCTTGAGTGTTGTTTTGGGGATATTAAAAGCATTGTTTTGGGGTTGTCTTAGACGTTGTTCTGAAAAATGATTTGGGCACCGTTTCCGCACTGCTTTGGCCCATTTTTGCCCGCTATGTCAAGCTGATATAATTGATATTTCTTTTTGGGAGAATTTAAACACTTTTTTAGGCCAACTCACTCGTCATTCTACACCCTCCACTTTGTTGTTTATGGGAGTTGGGTCAGTCTCCTCTTTTCGATTTATTTTATTTTCTTTTCTTCTAGGACGATGATGAAAGTGTTTATGCATGCTAAAAGTGGGAATTAGAATAGTGTCTCCTGCTTCAATGACGTTTGATGAAGGGAGAGCATAGCCTATGATACTATTCATCAGTCCTTGGGGGAGGATGCTCCTGACTTTCTTAGATTAGTGGTAGCTCTAAGCCAGATCAAGGCGATTAAATGGTGGACCACTTGATCTTCAAAATATTTATATGTATGACACAAACAAAAAAAATATTTTACTTGTGAAACTATTATTTTTTACTGCTATGTAAACCTTATTTGCATGAAAAAAAGTTAAAAAAACCTTAATAAGACACTACGAGATTCCACTCGTTAATCGCTTCGATTGCAGCATGGAATTATCCTCCTTAGACTGTCTAACTGGTGGCATCTATCAAAAATTAGATTATAAAGCACAACCCAGCTCTGAGCCCCCACCTTTACCAAATTCTTACTGATTGCAGCATGGAATTATCCTCCTTAGATTGTCTAACTGGTGGCATCTATAAAAAATTAGATTATAAAGCACAGCCCAGCTCTGAGCCCCCACCTTTACCAAATTCTTACATTTAGTGTCAGTCTTTCATATGTAACATCAAGGTCGGTCTTTTATATGTAACATCAAGTTTTGTTTTGCTCGTTCTTACTTTCTTAAAACGTATTTTGCTTCTTTACACTGGATTTCTTACCATTTCTTGTACACTGTTATATTATGTTGTACTAACCCTTTCGCCGCAGTAGCAAAGGCCCAAGTACGCATGGTTATAGTTGGTTTTCCTTTTCATTATTGCATTATGTAGCATGTTTTACTTATATGCATTTTGTTTATATATTGTCAGATTTTACGGTAGAAAATAGCAGTCTGGTTACTTATGATGGATCACTATAACATATGAACAAATACACCCTTTAACTTTAACAACAATAATCAATGATAAAACATAAAATATAAAACATAAAACCTTAAACATGGAGACGCTATCAGCAAGGAGCTCGGAGCAAGCTTCGAGGCAACACAACAAAGGACTTCCGTTGATGGATCGAGACTAAAACATGATCTACTTCAGCCAAACCCTTCCTTAGAATTAAACAAACTATAGGATTTTGAGGTGGTTCGTCTAGCACGACATAAATCATCACTTTAACTTTAGGCTCCTGCACAATCATGTTGTGCAGCACAAGTCCTCTTTAGGCTCTGAGGTTGTCGTTTGGTACGAAGTAAACCCTTATGTCTCTAGGCTATTTGTATGTTCGGGATCAGGTAAATGTAAGCACTAAATAATAAAATTGGCAGGATGAAACATTAAATAAAATCTCTTAAAAATTGAAGCCGAACAATAGGATAGTTTACAAAGTCACTGAGGTTCTCCTCAGAATATATGCCATCCTCTATCTTTCTTCTTTTGGATTCTGAAAATAATTGTTCTTATTTGATCCTTTCCCTCTTGATTTTTCACGTCCGACCTTGAAACCCTAAACGTTGAATTCTTGAAGACAGGTACATATGATCATTATTGAGAGTTTTCTTAAGTAACTTAGGTCATTTAGGATGTAATTAACCATAATAAATCATACTTACTCTTCAATATTAGGTAAGGGACTTGTCAGTTAATACACAAAAGGTTCGCAGACAAAACAGATGTCATAAATTATTTTAGTTTATTCAATCGAACTCGTCATGTTATGTGTCTATTCTTTAGGATCGGTGTTTTATTTGTAGTGTTGTGTTCGGTTATTTAAACTATTAAAATATATGAGATCATGTTAGTCTCCTATTTTCAAAATTAAAATACTATTTTTCAAATAAAAATTATATATACTAAACTAAATTTGAAATCATTTTCAAATATAAAATAAACCGACCGACAACCGCAAGAAGACACCTTTCTCGTCCTGAACAACCAAGTCAATGCCACCTCAGTAGGATGGGAGAAAAGCCTTGTCCACATTACTTTTCAGCCAACCAGGAGGGGGCATCAAAAGGGAGTATGAAACAGGGGAGGACTAATTGGTGTCCCAGTGCTCCACAAGTTGAAATTTATGCGTGGAAGTCATTACAAAAGGCTAACCTAGGCAGAATATTAGTCTAACACATCGTATCATATAGTTCTCAGACCACTCCTAAAATCTTGTATGGTTGTGATCCACCTCGTTTGATGCATTATTGACACAGTAAAACTTCAATGTCGTCGGTGGATCAGTACTTAGAAGAGAGGCATAAGGTGTTGACGGAATTGAAGGAATTCTTATTGAAAGCTCAACTTATGAAGAAGCAAGTTGATGGACATCGAAGGGATGTGCAGTTTGTGGTAGAAGATTGGATGCATCAAGAACGTTAACTTTATAAGCAGAAGACATTGGCCAGAAGCGGAAATGAGAAGCACTCCCCACGCTGTTTTGGTTCTTATGAGATCACTCAGTGCATTAGGGTAATGGCTTATCGCTTAAAATTGTCATCTTCGTTGACACTCCATCTAGTGTTCCATGTATCACAACTGAAATGTGTTATTGATGATAGCGTGCCCACATCTTCACTTCTCCCTACTTTGATTGAAGATATGGAAGTTCTCTTTGAGCCAATTGAGTTAAAAAGGGTGCGCCAAGAATCGATAGGTGGGAAAAAAAATGTTGATTAAATGGAAAGTATTGTCAAATTATGATGTCGCGTGAGAGCAACCATATGACTTGATCCAGCAATAGTTTAATCTTGTATATCTTGAGAACAAAGTATATTATTGGGAGGAGAGTAAAGCTAGATCGACGTCTTCCGTCTCATGCTCCATTGAGTCGAGTAGCCCCACTAAACCCATACTGAGCTCCAAATAATTTGAAGACCTATTTTAGGCGCAAGGCTATAAAGTAAATTTAATCATTTTTTAGTTATTTTTGTTTGGTATAAATAGGGCTTAATATGCTTAGGGTTAAGATATGTGATTGTTTTGTTGAATTTTAAGGTTAGGGTATGAGAGATAATTGCCTATTTCTCGAATTCTAGGCCTAATGTTTAGTTATTTGGGATTGTGTTGTTCTGGGTCGGTTGTGGACACTTGTCTCATTCCTATCAAATAGTCTCATGTCTTCCAGGGAAAACTCAAACCTCCAACTTTGGATAAACTCCAAATGAGATTCATCTTTTTCAACAAACATTAGAACTTGCAATGATCATGGCTTGCTTCTAAGAAAGACTCAAATGGACTAAAGTTAAAGTGGGGATGTCCAGAAAAAACCTTGATATCATATGTAGCACTATCAATTATTCGATTTCTCTTCTAACTAATGGTGACTCTAGTTAGATTCTTAATGGGCAAAATTTTGTTTTTTTTTAATGTGCTTCACTCCATAATTGGTATATTTCCAATTAGAATTCGTACTATCAAGAAAGCAACATTTTTTTTTTAGTTTGCTCTCACTACTATGCATGCATTGTTTGAAGAGCGCGAAAAAATTCACTCATGGAGTGAACTTCACAACATTGGGTCCAAATGGTCATCTAAATAGATGATGTGGGCGTATAGAGGAAGTTACTGGAATCAAAGACTCACTCAAATGTTTACTTGCAGATGACAGAAATAGTACTTCCCAAAGGTAGCTAAGATTGCTAATGGTAGAAGGAAAAGGAAATGTATTCATAAATTTTAGATAGAAGATCAATGGATACTGGATTAAGCTAGTGCATTATTCATATAGAGAATGTTAGGCCCTCTTTATTGATTCATACAGCATCAATAAATGGGTCCTCATATGGCTAAGCACTGAATAGCATCGCAGGTGAGCTGATTTCAACCTATATCAAGCAGAATTAACAATAAGCCTGTATTTACAACATAACTAAAATTAAACAGAGCCTATATCAAGCAGAATTAACACTAAGCCTGTATTTACAACATAACTAAAATTAAACAGTTACGACCGCACTGGAAAATTAAAATCACTACACATCAGAGGGAGACTGAACTCTGAATTACCCAAATAAGTTAAATCGGTGGCACATTTGAGTTGTAAGATATGTTCAGTTTCTTAAGAAAATGGAAGATTGTGAAGTTCGGTAACAACTTTGTAAATGAAACCTTAATATTCTTGATTTCCATTTTGTCTGACACTTCAATTAGCAACTCATGATCCCAGCCTGTTGGCTGTGAGGAACAGCCAAGACTCTTTTTGAGCCTTGAGGAATCAATAGAAAGGATAGGCGTCCTCAGACAAAGTCTAATGCAGTTGTCTTCAAACTGAATACACTTCACGCCACAAAAGAGATCTTCAAGCGAACAAATCGTTTCTAACCTGAAACATATGCAAGAAAAAACCAAGTAATCAAGCTATGATAAACAAAAGGGGCATCATTAAAAGAAGATGAAAAGTTAGCGATGATGATTTATTAGGGTTAGTTTGGGATCAATTTTGGTTTTTCTTTTTATTTTTTTGATTTTGCTTTAAGGACTTGTTTGTTCAGTATAATTTTTGCATATTTTTATTTTTTAAAATGAACAGATGTGTTTATTTTTAAAAGCACTCCAAATAACTTTGAGGGTATTTTTAGTGGTTTTAGAAACAATTATCACCCCCAAACATGCTTTACTTCAAATCAAAACAAAAACAAATATAAATTAAATTAAAAATTACAAATTAAAAAATAAAAGTGATCTCAAATAGCCCCTAAATTCTTTTGTGAGCATATTACTTCAAATCAAAAAAAAAAAAACAAAACAAAATAAAATAAAATTAAAAAATTTAAAATAGAAAACAAAAGTGATTCCAAACCACCCAAATTTTATTTGTGAGCATAACCAACTTAAGAAAAGAAAATCGAGAATCATCATTGATTTTTAATTATCAATGTAAATGACATAAACAATATAGACTACATTAAAAAACACAAAATGCAAAGCAAACGAACAACAGTTTTAGCCCAAAAATATAAGAAAACTTCAAAAGAAAATATAAAAATCATAGAACGGAAATTTCCTAATTTTCAAGTAAATCATGTAGTACACTTAAGATATTAACTTTGTAACTTTATAAGAGACTCTTAAAAAAGAAAGTGCTAACCAAATTCTATGGACGAAGAAGCTCTCAAAAAAGTTTCTAAACTACAAACTTCTAAAAGTTCAAACCCAACTAAGTGGCATAACTAAATACTACAAAGGTAGCCTTCTCTAGCCTAAGGTTATGATTTTAAAGAAGTAAAATCCTCCTAAAAGAATAACCCATGAACTGGGGATCAAATCTACTAGATGATCAATCAGGTCAACTATGATCAACATTTGAGCATTAGATAATAAAACGATCAAAGGGATCATTTTCATTGAAGTTTAAATGATCTCATTTCATGAACGAGATTGGCAAAAATATTGACATTCAGCTCACCAAATAGATAGAAAATTAAGTCAACGGAAGTCCTCAAGATCATCGAATGTCTGATGAGCAAGAACATGAGTCAAGATATATAACTCATTGGAAGAGTACAAGAAAAGCTAGATAAGGATGACATTAATTTTAAATTTGCTTTGAATTTTTTTTTATTTTTAATTTAAAGTTGAAGCCTCTTTTATGAGTAAGTTTAGGAAGAGTACGGTGGTCCCTAACTTGTTAAATTATGGATAAACTTGTTCCTTATATAACTTAGTACAAGATAAAATTAAACACTAAAATAATTCCTGCTACATTTTGTACTACCCAAAGTTTTACAAGAGTGGGATTACATTTTAACTCAAAATTTTATCTCTTAATTTTGTTCAAACCCTAATGATGATCAAATACATTTTTATAAAAAGTTATACTTCATTACGATCATTTATACACTTATGTATGTATGTAAAAATAAGTAAATTGTTATTTATAATTTAATTTCGTGATTAAATTATAACTGTTCATCTATTTAAATCATTGTTAACCAAATCATTGCACTGTAACAGAAAATGGAACAGTTCAAGTTCTTTGATATGCAATGGAAGGTTTGGAAATAGATTAATAGTTTATGTTGCCATCACTTTTGGTCAACTCTTCATTCACCTCAAGTATCTAAGTTAAATTTGAAATAAATCACGCAAAATGAAAATCAAATAAAATTAACTTTAATCAAATTATAAAATTGGATCGAGATGTAGCTCGATGAGAGAATATTCTGAAATTATCATTTGTGCCCTGAAATTGTTGTTTTCACTACAGATCATTGTATAAGCTACATTTGATTTATTATTTATTATGAATAGCATGAAATAAATTTTGATGACTATCGGACAACTTTTATATGAAATTTTACGTAGTGAGCTTTTATGCATGAGAATCGTCCCACGCAAAAAAAAAAAAAAAAAAAAAAAAAAAGAGTGAGGGCAGAACAGACTTCGCAAATGTGTATGGATCGTCGAAACCTTTCAAATGAGCATTTTCGGGCTCAGATCGAACCCGTATTAGGGCTCACCATGTCAGGCTACCTCGAGCGCACCAGCGGCATAAGGCAGTGCCTCTGCACGGCAAAGGTAACCAGCACATCGGCACCACAAGACAATGAGGTGACGAACCAACGCTTCTCTTCAGCCATCGACTTCCACTAGATTTATACCTCCCCCTCTCCTCGCAACACTCTTGGCTACTCAAGACTCCTCCCCACTCTCTATCGGCTCTCCTACTTGCTCCTCTCTCCCGCTCTAATGCTCGCTCGCTTGCATGCTTCCTCTCTCAGTGTTCTCGAGTTGATCTACTCCGCTGTAAGCTTCCTCTTCTTCTTCCTCCGATTTTCCAACTCTTCTATACTTCTTCTTCGACACACTTTCTCTTCCATTTTCTTCTTTGTACCTCATCTTTCATTTTCTTCTTCTCACTACTTGAATGTGTAGTCACTCGCCTATGTAGCGCATACTTTATTTCCTTTTATATGTAAGACTTTTATGTGATTTCCTTGCATATGTGAATTTAATGTGTCACTTCCACGTGTAGTTTGCTTTTATATATGAGATTATCACATAGTTTATACTTATATGTAGCTTCCATGAGTAGCTTATTGCCCTTAGGATTTGCATGTGAAAGTTTTCATGCAAAAGAAGACTTTTCCCCATGTGCTTTTGTGTATATTTCTTACAATTTAAGAATCATGTGGTAGTATATTGTTTCTTATATATAAAATCTCCATATATTATGTGTATGTTCATACTAAAGAGAATTAATGGGAATAGGTGCATGTTTCTCGAATTATTGTGGATTTGAGTATATTCATCCAGATATTAGGTCAGACTGGAGTTTCGTGAACAAGAAAAAAAAAATATATACTTTAATTTTTAAACATCATTTTAAATCCTTTTAAAAGGATCTTGAAATTAAATGGGGTTGTTAAGTCTTATGGCCAGAATTTACTAAATCCAGTCAAACACAAAGAAACACAAGTTTCATGGATTTAGGAAACCTCTGATTTAAGGTCTTAATTTTGCCTTCGATTCATGTTAAATCTATATTTAATAAATCTAGCAAGGAGATGGATCTAATAAATCTGGATTTGCTAACGTTAAATCCTTCCTGCAGCCAAACACCCCCCAAAGAGTCTTCTTCAAAGATTAAAAAAAAAAATAAAGGACAGGAAAAGAAAAAGAGGAACATGAAAAAAAATTAAAAAGGAAAAAATAAAAACAAAGAAATAGGGAGAAAAGAAATTGACTTGATCAGTTTGTTGATCATGACATAATAGAATATATCTCTGAAGATAGGTGACAATAAACACAAGCTCCTAAGGAAGACAGTTTTGAAAATAAATCTTTCAAGTTCAAGAGATTATTCAAAATTGATAAATTGTGCTCCAACTTTTTCCAAATTCAAACTATTTTTGCAAAGTTGGGAATCAAAATCACCCCATAATCCAATATTTCCAATAAATACCAAAAAAATCATCCTTGTATTCAATTTCTTTAAAATTCTGAACATAATCTCAAAATTAATAGAGTTTTTTCCGAATCCATGGAATTTGTTGAAGCAAAATATGTCAATAGTGAAGTGAGTTAAAATCAATCAGTTTAACGAGACATACAATCCCGGACCTTCCTTTTAATTTTCACTTTTAAGTGAAAATGAAACCAACAAACTCGTTAATGTTATATTTGAAAGTTTAGGAAATCTATCATATAAGTCTCAGCTATACGTCAAGACTGTCCCAAAAGTGACAGTCCCTAGACTAAAAAAAAAACCTAATGTGTCATAATATAAAGCTCTTTGATGTATGTGCATAAAGATTGAACACAATAGCCAATCAAAAATGGGCTATTTGATGCCAAAGAATGAGAAGTATACATCATATGGTGAACTCTAAATAAAATGTATAACTATAAAGTTATCCCACTTAGGTCTTATTAATATTGATTTCTAAATATCAACGGGTCGCGATCTAAATGTTCGAAATGCTTGTCTATATCAAATGGAAGGAACCACTTAGGTCTTATTAATATTGATTTCTACGGGTCGCGATCTGAATGTTCGAAATGCTTGTCTATATCAAATGGAAGGATATGTCGATAATTCGATCCAGAAAAATGGAAGATCTTTGATTATTTAAGAATTATCTTCAGGCAATTTTACCACTAAAATCCAAAAATAAATTTTGATTATTTAAGAATTATCTTCAGGCGATTTTACCACTAAAATCCAAAAATAAATTTTGTAAAGTGTGTTTTCAACAAGTGACTTCATGGAAGTTTTTAGGATTTTGAGTATATCACTGCAGGATCAAGATTAATCATATTCGAATATAAACAATATTAGAAACCCATACTTTAAAGAATTCAACTTCATTCGAAAATCATTTCAATATGAGTTGGAGTTTCTAAGGAAAAATGTTTTATCCTAAACTCTTAAGATATGTTTCTGTCATCTAAAATATCATTGTTCTGAAAGAAAGAGCGCTCAGTCCGCCCTAATCCAATAGGAAGGGGGAGGGCGTTAAAAGAATGTTTCTCTTCCAAGAGAGTCAGGGTCATCATTTTGACAATAATCACAAATTAACGTATCTAGCGCCCCCGCACAAGACTACCTCTGGTACAACCACGGCATAATGTCATGCCCCCTTGTCACAAGGGTGCACCGTGCCACAGAACAGTACCACCAACGCCCCAATAAAGTAGGTGGCGCCCTGTGCCACCTAGTGGCACTTTCATGCCATCGGCGATCTGTGGGACTCCCATTTATTTTCAATGGTCGACTAACGCGTCCCTTAGGCTCCTAACATCTCCACTCGATATATACCTCCCCTTCTCCTCACATGTGACACTCTTGTCCACTCACAATTCCTTCCCACTCTCTGATGA